TAACCGAAGTGGCATAATTCCGCTCTTGCGGTGGCAGGCTGGTGAGTTTATTTCCCTCGTTCAGGGTTTTCGGTCATTATCCCTAACGTTCCGTCAGAAACGCTAGGGAGAAGAGGCGTTTGGCGGTGTAGATGGCATTTCTCAAACTTTGAGCCACGTTTAGGCCTTTGAGGAAGACGATCGGTCGAAACGTCAGGCCAGAATGTTGGAATGTTAAAACGAGGTGGTAAATATGTAAAGAGTACATTAGTGATTGATTTCTTTGAGAGAAACATATAGTTCGAATTAGTTGCCGGTTTGGTTCCTTTTCGCCTAATAAACCTCTCATTGAAGCCTGTATCAGTCAATTCACAATGATTACAGAAGTCATACCATATATTCTGTGGAAAGACAATTCCCTTCCGAACGATTCATTATATTATGTTGAACTATAGGATTTCAGAGGAAAAATTTCATTTGAAAAAAACGGCACTACTTATCGGATAACATATTATATGGATTAAATATTTGCAAGGAGCGAAAGTCAAGATTTCTACTCCAGTTAAAGTTTCCAGTCCCCCAAAACGCTTCGATATGGAACAGTCAGATTACTACTTGTCTAACCCATTGGCAACTTTGTGGCTCAACGCAGGACGCACAGGGAGCCATCATGATACCTATAGTGATCATGGTCCGTGCATATACTCTCCAGTGTGTGCTTTACTCAAGGAGTATTTGAAAGCGATCTTTAGGATTGAAGTGTGCTATTTTCCAATGTACTACAACCTGCTTTTTTGCTAACAGCTAGCTAAATTACTGATACAACTTTTTACAAGAGGAACTGTATCAAATGTCACTTACAAATTATGGAGTGGAAGCTGTTTTTTAGCATGCTCAGGAACCCCTTGAACCAAATAAAAAAAGTTATGCTTGTTCTCGAGGCGACAGGCAAAGGTTTCAAATGCACAAAGTCTCAACACCTTCTGCAATGAGATCCAAGGTCTTGTCGTAGATAGGTGTCATCTTATGACCAATTTTTCGAGAATTTTAATGAAGTCGCAGTCCTGCGTGGCAGACACGCAAAAAACGCATTGTCGTCAACGTGTTGAATTTACGGGTCAGAACTCTCTAGTCGGCTGTTAATTGGGGTAAGTCTAGATAGCTGAGAATAGAGCGGTGGTGGCAGATAAGAAGATATGGCGAGTTCACCCGCCTTCACAGAAAAACAGGACATGCCAAAGTCGAGTTACGAGTAATTCAACCTATTCGATAGAATAGTCAAAGACAAGGAGATGTTACCGGGTGTCCAGCTCGTTGGAAACTGGACAAATCCAGATAAAGCGTACAGCTAGGACTGCAAAGCTTACGCAAATTGATAGCAGACTGCTTCGGTCAGCAATTCCCACTCTGTCCTGCTTGGCGGTCTCATGAGTGATGTGCTGTAATTTACCACTATAGAGCCCATAGTCCATAACACATCTAAAAGGCAGAGGGTTATGAATGTGAAAATATGGAAGCACAAAGCAAAAGAGAAAAGCATACCCATGCCCTAGTTCAGTTGATAAAGGTATATTGGATCGTTTTCTTGAAACACTTCCAGAAGCGGTATTTCTATTTTTGGTGTCGCGTGGTACGGAAAGCATTGATGAGTGCTGAAAGCGCAATCATGACAATGGAAAGAATTTCAAAACAGAAACGGTGACTAACTTACTTTGACTTGCAACTTTCTCTTGTTGAAGAATTCACGTGTCTCGGCTATGAAGTCTGATCCATTAGTGAAAGCTTTGATAGAGGCTCTTATCCATGCTGGGAAGTACTCTTTCTTCACATTCGCAAATCTGAATTTGCTATCAGACTCCACAAGAGGGATGCGTGTGAGCGAACCAACAACTCAATCCCAAGGTGTTCACATCACTAAACTATGAAGACTCAACGCCTTCCCCTCAGTTTTCAACGGCTTGTTTACAACTGCTTATTGACCTTCACCTTCAGCGCTTGTGGCCTACTTCTTTCCGCAGCCATTCGCAATACGGATGTCATTATGATAGTACAGTGCTTTGCGTGGTGAAAATGTAGTTCGGGGGGCACCCTATCTAATCGAAGTGAAGCTGCGGAAAGACACTCATATCTAATCAAAGTAGAGTTGCGGGAAGGCACTTATATCTTATCATATCTTTCACTGAAGACCGTGGCCACTGGACTAGTACGCTTACCCTTGTCATATTGGTCTATGGCTAAAATGGCTGCTACCCTGCTGGCTCCTTACCTTCATCAAACTTTCTTGCGGGAGACGTGCGTTTCTCCTCCTGGGGTCAGGTCACCACAGTTGCGCGATCATTGAAGCTTAAGGTTAAGTTTGGGTTTAGACTTAGGTTAAGGCTTATGCTTACACATTGGCTTATGCCTAAGCCTATGATTGGGCCTAGGCTTAGTCCTAAGCTTGCTCCGAGCGAATGAACGGCGTCTCAATTTTAGGTGACCTGACCCCAGGAGGAGAAACGCTACGCACGAACAAAGGGCCCTCTAGGTATCCGATTTTCTATGGAATCTCGATTGGTACCCCTAGCTAATCATACCCACGGATCTCTTTCACTGAGGGTCCTCTCTCACTGAAAGATCTCGAGCCGGTTGGTGGCGAGGCTACGTGGCGCGACCCCAGGTGGCGGATAGGGGGTAAATCGCGGACCAAAAGCCACCATGTACTTGCCCTGAGACGCAGGTGGATTCAGGGGATGGACTCCCTGTTTCTGTAGTGCTGTGTTGATTCATACCAGCTGTCTCCACTCATATCCATGCATGCTTGCGTGTGTGGTGCGCTCTGTGTGTGTGCGGTTGGTATCCTGCATGTCGGCACAGCCAAAAGCTTGCATTCAAGTGACTGGGAAGTACATGGGAGGCGATTCGGGGCCGCCTCCAAAAAATAAGCCCCTTGTTCCGCTCCAGGATAGCGTGGCGCTAGCACACCCTAGGATTATCAGGAGCCCACAGAAGAGCTACAGCAAATTGCACTAGCATCGTGTGCTCTTCAATATGCCGAAAACAGCAATATGGATGGGCCCTCATTCCCCTGAACCTGAGGGAGCCCCCAATACGGCAGCGTTGGGTAGGACCGCTCGGGAGAGGCTGCTAGAATCTCAGGGCCCGGATAGGCTGCCTAAACGAAGAAGGACTAAGATGGCGATCTGTACTTTCAACGCACGAACGCTTGCATCCGAAGCTCACATCGAAGATCTGATGATGCAGGCCAGGAAGATCAAGTACGACGTCATCGGACTGACCGAGACGAGAAGGCACCGCCCGCTACACGCCGTTTTCGATACTGGAGAAGAACTGTTCCTTGGAACATGCGACAGCAGAGGCGTTGGCGGTGTGGGTGTCCTCGTCAACACGCACTTGGCCATAAACATCGATTCGTACGAAAGCCTTACAACCCGAATCGGACGTTTGAGATTGAGAAGATGTGGTTCAACTCCTGCTTTGACAATCTTCGTCGCCTACGCACCAACATCCAGCTACGACGAAGAAGAACACGAAGCATTCTATATGGAATTGGAGAAGTTCTACAGGGAAGATCATACCTTCTTCAAGGTCATCGTCGGCGACTTCAGTCGCTTCCGCGCAAGATTCTACTTCTCGATTCGTGGGGGAAAGAGCAGCGCAAGTTCGAGAAGCGGAATAGGCCACATGGACAGCATTCAGCTGGGCGACCACTTGGCTTCCCTCGAAGCTTATATGGGAGGATATCTGTCATCACAAAAAACCATCGACGAGGTAGGTCACTATCCGCTCGCATGACATGCTTTCACGATGCATGTGCAGAGTCAGAGAGCTTTGCAAATCAACCAAGGAGATGTCTGTCTTCGGAATCAACCCTCGACTTGATGCCGCCAAGCCTGGAGGCCGCACAGCTAGACAGGCAACACGACTCACGCTCCGAGCCTTGCGCAAGGCTATGCAGAGAGAGCGCATAATGGCCAGGGATCTCCAGTGAGCGAAAGAACGGCAGCAGATTAAGCTGACCAGCAAGCCAGAGGGCTGAGAGAGACATCCTGCCGCAATGCCGCGCGCCGAAGCTTTGCCAGCTACAAGACCAAGATGACCTGCCTCCGACGTCCGGATGGAACAGTTACTGCATCCCGAAGGGCAATGGAGAAAGTCATCCACGACTTCTACTCGGATCTCTTCGATAGCCATGTCCATCTGCCTACTTATCAACCGCACAGGAGGGATGGATACGTTGTCCCTTCAGTTCTCTCTTCCGAAGTCCGACACGCCATCAAGTCGGTGAAGAATTGTACAGCGCCCGGTCTCGACAGGGTTAAACCGGAACATCTGAAGAACGCACCGCCAGTTATCATCAGAACTCTGGCTCGACTCTTCACGCGCTACCTGTCGGAATGCAAGGTACCCACTCCGTGGAAAACCAGCAGGACCGTGTTGCTGTACAAGAAGGGAGACTTGGACGACATTGGCAACTATCGCCCAATCTGCCTGCTGTCTGTAATCTAACAACGGCTATTCACTCGAGTCATCCTTAACAGGATCGGCAGAATACTAGATGAAGGACAGCCATGCGAGCAAGCAGGGTTCCGAAGAGGGTTCAGCACGATCGACCATATCCACACGGTTACGAGACTCATTGAAGTTTCACGAGAGTACAAGATGCCGCTTTGTCTCACGTTCATCGACTTGAAGAAGGCCTTCGACTCTGTGGAGACAGAAGCGGTCATCGAAGCCTTGGGCAACCAGGGCGTCCCTATCAGCATAGCCACTCAGATTTCTGTCGCTGAGCTCAAGTATCTAGCAACTTTACGAGCCAGAAGGCGGCATCGATTCTACAAGGAGGTCATCATCGACGTCAAGAGAGGGGTTCGACAGGGCGACACCATCTCGCCCAAACTCTTCAGCGCCGCTCTCGAGAACGTCATGCGTCAACTGGAATGGGAAGACATGGGAGTGAAGGTCGACGGCCGGCAACTACACCACCTTCGGTTTTGCTGACGACAGTCTTTAATTAAAGCCCGGAAACACTCGAGCAAAGCGGAGCGCGCACATGCGTGGCACTGCAATTTCGACTGCGCCCTGTGGTAAGGTTGGTCTACAGCTGAACCTAACGAAGACGATGTTTATGAGAAACGGATTGGTTCCTGATGCCCCATTCACGCTCAACGGAACGAACATCACCGAATGCTCCAGCTACGTGTACCTAGGTCGGGAAATCAATATGATGAACGATCTAGCTCCAGAGCTGAGCAGGAGGAAACGAGCGGCTTGGGGAGCGTACAAAGAACATCGAGGGAGTAGTGAAGAAGACGAAGAACATCCGGCTCCGTGCCCACCTCTTCGATTCCGCTGTCCTTCCTGCCCTAACCTACGCCTCAGAGACTTGGACTCTGCGCAGGCAGGACGAGCATGCGGTCAGCGTTATCCAACGCGCTGTCGAGAGGACGATGCTAGGAGTAACCCTATACACGCAACGTGCCCAGAGGCACGGAATCTGGAAGTTCCGCGACTACCCGCCAACAAGATCGATGTATCCAAGAAGACTGGTTCTGGCAGGTTCTATCGCGCCAAGGAATGTTGAAGATAAGAGTGGGCCGGACACGTCATGCGATTTTGCGATGACCGTTGGACCAGAGCGGTTACCGGACTGGATCCCTCGGGACGTCAAACGAACACCTGGACGACCGCCGGCCCGATGGTCAGACTTCTTCACGAAAGCTCTGAACGAAAGGAATGAACGGACTTCGTGTCCCTCGAGCAAGGAGGGACCACTCTAGCACGCGACAGGGACGAATGGAGACGTTGCTGGCGCCCGCTCGAGCAAATCGACGATCAACGGGACGACAGGTGATACAGGTGATCTTATCATACACTCAAAGACTGTGCTCTGGATGATTAGATATGACCGCCCTACCGCAGCTCCACTTCGATTAGATATTGCCAGTTCGATTAGATATTATGAGTGCCCCCCCCCCCCCCCCGCCAAACTACATTTTCACCCTTTGCGTAAAGCATTCGGCCTAAGCATTTGGAAACAAAGCTACCTTCAGTAGCCTTCCAGAAATACTACGAAATAGTATCTTGACGACAAAAACTCACCTTTCATCTAGCAACGCCACAACCCCAAAATCATCAGCATGACGGATAACACGACCTAAAGCCTGATTCACTGCTCGATATCCTTCAGTCACGTACCATTCGTCTGAAGACTGCGCCTAAAGACCACTTGAGAAAACTCTCAGGAACATTTTTCTAAAAACGACCCAGAGATGGAAGAAATGTGCCAGGTTGTGCCAGGATGGAAAGGATAAGACATGGCACGCATTTTGCAGCTTAGTTGTTTCGAATACAAACGGTACCATCATAACAAAACAGGTACACTTAGATTTTTCTAGATGTACAAAAACGGGAAACCATGGGGTCAATGAAAAAAGATTCATCCCATCTCTGCTTTTCAATTCTTTAACAAATATTACCGTTTTGTTTACAGCAGCCATCTCATTTATATACAGCCGTTTTAGACAAATCCGGACATCCATCATCGGAGGATATGGTATTCCAACAACACAAACAGCTCGAGAATCAGCATCTGAGAAATCGATTCCCTCACTAACCTAGAACACCCGAATTTCTATTCAAAGCTTATAGAGAATTCGAGAGACAAGGAGCACTTCTTTAGAACTAGCCCACGAAAGTGACACTATCGAGACAAGCAACGAAGAATGTGTCGAAAGAGAGCATGCAACAACTATTCCGCATTGCTGCAATGCAGCGCTATAACCAACAATTGGCGGTGGCAAATTTGCAGGTTAAGATGACGCACGTGAGACGTTCTTCCTTACTCGAATTCCCCTCTTCTCCTAAAATAGCCGTGGCACACGTGAGGGCTTATCTGGAATGGTGTAGCGCCTCCTGTTAGCAACCCGGTGTGCGCGATGCTCACCCTCACGCGTGTGATATTTGAGTAATTTGAAACGATAAACACAAAAAGCTGCCGTCACACTGCATCAAGATCGCGCAAAAAAACAAGCGCGGAATTCGAAAAAGAGAAATTTTCTAAGCACAAAAGAAGCAGCTCGTCACAGTACGAAGAGAGCATTCAATACACTTACCTTTCCTCTACATACCGCAAAAAACATGGCGCCTCGTTCGGATCGCACACCTTGAGTGAACTCTGACCTCACCTTATTCAGTAGGTTCTACAAGGAAAGATTATTTTGATTATAAAAATGGTACATGGAAGACACTAAAGCTAAAAACATACTTTTTGCTTCGGTTCAACCACAACCACCTTCTTTTCAACAATACAATCCCAATAGGTTTTTGAGCACTCAGTTTTGGATGGGAGTTGTTTAAACTTAGATATAAGGTTATGCATGAGACTGTATGATGCAAAAAATACAAGTATCCCTGAAAGAAAAATTTCAGTTGAATTTTTGATTGACAGAGTATATTTATTACCTTGCGGGACAGTGCTAGCTAGTGAGAGGATGCTTTCGGCAATACCCACGGCGTACATCCTGTCATTCCTAGAAATAATCGGCATAGTAACTAGGTGCACCACTGTGCTAACAGGTCCTGCACAATTTGGGTCAGACAACAAACTCGTAGTCGCCTAAACTGATTGTGAGAACAACACAAAACAAAACTTTCCGCACATTCAACCACGCCTACAGCAACTTGTCAATCATCTCTTGATAAAGAACTTCAACCACCATACCCACCGTTTTGCAAAAGATCCATTTAGGATGCAATCACTTATCGGTGATCTGCCTACAAGTCCGGCTATGACCTGATCACTTTTGGCTGCATGTTTGTTCTCCAAAGTACTACCAAAATCACTGAAAACACAAAGACAGTTCTTCATGGGAAAGCTCAAACATCAACAATGAAATCTCACAGCCCGATAGCTCGAATGAAGTTGGTTAATGGTGACAACGTGCCACTCGTCACAACAACGGTCCGCGCTCCGTTCATCTTCAATGCCCGCATTGCGATTGAAGGAGAAAAACACCAAAATTTCATAACTGTCTATAACAAAAGGATATAAGAATAAAAGGTGATCAAAAATGCGTTCAAAAATGCTTACACAGGCGGGTTTGTCTGCGGTTTCCTCTTCCTTCACTATGTACAGCTTAAAATGTTGGCCAATCCTTTTAGGATCCATGGAAATTATCTCAGTTTTAATATCTCCTGCAGTTGCCTTCAATAGAGTGTTTAAAGCCGGAAGGAATTTCAGACAAACAGCTTATGAATAGCCAATTCACGTTACTGGCAATCTAATTAAACTTGTTACGGCTATTTCACTGATGATCAAACATCTCAAAGTTCGCATAAAATTTTTCTTGGATGGAATTCTCTTACAAACGTAACGGATATTCACAGCTCATACCTTTTGTTTAGAGATAGCAAGAGCCGCTTCCTTTGACAAGCTCAAATAAACCACCGAAATGAAACTTCTTATGAGCTCGAGATTTTTTCCCCGTTCAGCCGAAGCTGGCTTCAAATCGGCTGCAAAAGTACAACCACAGCTGCGAGGAGTACACAGAAGTCAATTTAAGACTCGCGAGAATAATTACATTTATCGCAAAGCTTACTCTCTCGTTGAAGATAGTCAGTAATATCTAACAGTAACTTAGACATGGCGTCTGCCTTGTCGAAGGAAAAACCTGCACTCCCAAAAGTTTCCAGAAGTCGGTCACCAGGAAACACCTGCAGGATTTCAAAGTTAAATGATCTGTGAAATAGAGCTTGAAAAAAGTAGTGGAATCTAGTCACCTTCCCAGGAAATCCTTCAAGACTGAGGGCAGATGGATCGTTGAAAGTTGCTTCCACTTTCACCTCGAGTTCGAAGAGCATCGCTGAAGCGGAAAACCATATAACACGTGATCTGGACCAATCTATTACCATTGTAAGTATGCTCACACAATAATATTGCGGCATCGCCTACTTGGAAATAAGGGCCTTTGTGCTTTCCAGATTCCTCTGCCCCGCTGCCGAATGCTTGGGAAGAATGGTCCTGCAAGTGATCAGTAAACAGCGTATTCCAGCTGAAAGTAAAAATGAATAAGAAAACAGAAAATAATGAAACAGGTGGGTGATGAAGGGCTCCCAAACTTGAATGCTAACTCTTCGCGCCTTCCCAGGTGGAGATCATGATTCGATCACTCATAACCACGAAGAAAGCAGTAAATACTCATGACACACCAACGCATTCCTTGTCTCTTCTGTTTCAAGCTGTATGCATTCGATGGCTTCTTTGAGTTCCGCAATTGCAAGGGCGATATTTATAGAAGAGATCTCAACCGAAACAACCTCTTCGCATATGCTCTCCTAAAAGCAACCTTTGACGAATGAACATAAAGTACCTACTTGAATTCTACCACTTACTAAATTATGAGCCTCATCAAAAATAACAATACTTCCACCAAGATCGACTTTATGAATTTTTCTTAGCTGAGGATCGATAATGTAGTTGTAGGGAGATAGTATCAACTCGGCCGTTTCCTGCATCTGACGGCATCGATAGAACGGACATATTCTGAAGAGAAATATGAGAGCTGTAACTTATTCCAGGTTCACAACTGAATGAAACCGAACTTTTTCGCTGAAACTTGGTCATTCGGGGTATTTTGCTAACTGTTCACAAACAGCATCCAGTTTGGCGCCAGCGCTGGCTGTCGTGAATGGTCGAACAGTGTGGCAAAATTTTAAATTTGTGAAATCATTGTAGTCATGAGCCGTTGTTTGGGCGAGAGAGGGCAGGCGGGAGCATCAAATTGAGGCGGTTTAAAGGACCGAGTTGATATAGTCCGTAAACGGTGCCCTTCTGCGCGAAATTGGCACTACTGACTTTGGCGCCACAAATGAGGGCAATGTCCGTGATCAGGACAGTGAATAACCCCCACACAAAAATTTATAGCAAATTTGGTGAAAACAGAAAGTTAATAGTGCAAACTTGACAAATCATTCTCTAAACACACATTGGGGGCACATTGATCCAAGGAAGGAATAAAAAGTTTTAAGAAGAAATCATAGGTGCACGAAAGAAACGAATTACATGGCCGTGGTTCACCTGCGAGTCGCAGTTCCCCACGCCGCCTGCAACGCGTGATCCGTACGCTGATTATGCGGTCGTCAAGGTGTCAATTTAGAGTCCTATGTCGCAAGAGAAGGTTCGTGAATAAGAACACCCGCACAATCATTCAATGACCTGTGAACGGTCTACATCGCGTCCGACCAATGTGAAAATTTTCAGGGTTCCCCTTCTCACTCCCCCTCCCCGAGGGCATCTCAATGGAACCATCCCCTCATTCGTAGTCATGTGTTATTCGAAAAAAAAAACTTGAAATCAACGAGCTAATACAATGGTGAAGTACAATGATTTTTCTCCGCCTAGATCTACGATGAAGCGAGAGCACTGCCTGAACCCACAAGGAGAATGACGAATATGTTATGTTTACTCTTTCGTTTCTTTGTTTTGTTTTTACTTCTTCGCGCGATTTCACTCCAGGCGCGTGCATGGGGAATCTTGAGAGGTGCGAGACTTTTGGCTTGTCCGGGCTGGCACGCGGCGAACTGCGGGGCGGCATGCGCGGCGATCCGGAGGAGACAAGGATTCTTCAATAGAATCCAACATGTTAATGCATGTGCAGATTGCTGATCAACTCTGCATTTCTGCGAATTGAAAAAAAAAAAAAAAACTTCACGCACGGAGGTTTGAATGCAGCGGTGTATAGGTGAGATTTCAGCGCAAGGAGATTGAAAGAGAGGAGAGAGAGAGAAAGGAGAGAGAACCTTCAAATTGTCACAACTCTTATCAAAACGAATAACAAACCTAAAATTAGGATCTTTTCGGAGATATGGCTATTCATCGTCACTATTAGTGACAAGGTTTTGGCTCACATGTTAAAGCAAAGATGCAAAGACATTTCTCTCACTGACAACTTAGCATCTATCCCAATCTGTGCAGTTAGGTGATGATGGCTATGTCCAAAAGATCGCACCGATGATAAGCGCTACAATTGAATGCTCTTATGAATCATCAATTTGTCCTGCCTTCCATTGGTTCAAGAGGAGATCTAACTCACACTTCCCTGGATACAGAATAATGTTAATATTATTTAATGCCTCCGCGCAACCATAGTTAGACCGATCACAAGTGATGTGTATGGCAGACCCACTGAGCACAACAATCATTAACCTAGAACCCGAATTCCTACAGGCCATCGCCTTCAGTCAATGTTTTAGATCTCGAGCTATCAAAATTCAAAGGAACGGAATTCGAAAGATTTCAATGGACGTGTCCAAGTGGCCTTCTTGGACGGGCAACTCCAAGCTCCATTAATTCCCTCTTCAGAAAAGAAATCCGACCCTAGAGCATGGCGCCAGCTGAAAAATTTAATGGTCAGTGTTTACCGTGGAAACTGCTCCCCTGTACTACTTCCTCAATGCTCAAATCGTCTGAGCTCAAACATGTGCCACGTAACGACTGACAGGTAGGCATTGTGCAGCGAAATGAAAAATTGCGCAAAAAATAAATCCTAGACCTGCATAACTTTTTGTAACATCCCAATATTTGTAAAGTATGTAAGATAATATAAGAACTGCCTGCTCCTCCATGATTACGGAGTGCGGCTAAAAGATACACTTGCCTGTCACCTACTCGATGTCCCCAAGGGCAGGGCTTGCCATGGTCAGAGACGCCGATAGGTGAGACCAGAGAGGGGGTCATATGGTCAACCGTTACCCATCCTGCTCTGACAGCCTTTTGGAAACGCTTGATCTGCTTTCACATTTGAATCCGGGCTGCGGTGTCATTATTTATTAGCTTGCCAGGACTCTTTGATTGCACTGCTTTCCTTCTATTGAATTCTGGCAGCACTACAGAATGGAGCATAACCATGGTAACAACAAATTGTGGCCCTACGAGAAGTGTAGAAACGAAATTCCAACTCGCAAAGTTAGGCTCCATCGTTCTTAATACGAACGTTGACGACAGCTTCTTTGAAAACCAGATAAGCCGTTTGGACAGAGCGAGCCCCTGAAGTAAGGCGTGAATTACGACGTTCCTGCCGCAATCGCGTACACAGCGCTCGCAGCGACGCGCTCTCTGCGTATCCTTAAAGCAACAGTCCAGGCAGGGTTTCAACTACTTGGTCATTAGGCGGTCAAAACATGCCCCAGCCCAACTAAAGTTTATAGGAAATGTCTTTAAGTTCAAAACCTACCTCTAAAATGCGCTGGAAGGGGTCGAAGTCCTCTTGGAGGGGGCGGATCACTCATACCGAGGCGGATCGCTCAACATACGCTGTGCAGAGTCCGTGCTTGACTAGCGGTCGTTGCGGGACCGCCGCGCTGTATGAGGTCGATTCCATAAGAACGCAATTGAAGCGCTTCAATTTCGATTGCTGGCAAATAGTTATGTATTTGCAAGCATGCAGCTATTTGCCAGCAGTTGCAATTGGAGCGCATGTACTACGGGCAGGTTCGGACAACTCGTCCAACACACGTCTCCCTAAACGGCAGGGGGAGTCCCTGTCTAAGCCCCTGCCCGACGTTTTTTTCTACTTTTTCTTTCTCCATTGACCAACTTCTCACCTGCAACGTCATTATAGGTGGTCCTTACCCGCGAATTCGTTCCTGGATTGTTGCTTTAAAGGTCATGCCCACATGCGCTACCCCTTCGAGCCGGAATAAAGACCTCCAAAAATGGTCTAGCGTCGCAGCGTGCGCGCGGGCGGGAGAGCCTGAGCGCCGCGCGAGCGTGTGTCCATCTCCACCTCCTATATGAACGGCGCTTAGTACAGTTGGCGAGTTTGCTCGACGCGTTCTCTCTTCGTTGAGAGCGCAGAGAAAACGAGGGCGAGCACACGTTTTAACGCGTCAATGCGTCGCGCATTGTACGTGACTACAGCAGAACAATATAATTCACGCCTTACTTCGGGTGCTCGCTCTGTCCAAACGGCTTATCTCTTGAAATACCACCTTGGATACCTATTGGCTCAGGTGTTATCTGCCATACAAACCAAAACTGCCGAAGAGAAGAAGAGCCGCTTACACAGGTTCAATTCAGCTAGGAGCTTCAACTAGATTTACAGGGTACCCCCAGGAGGCCCGTCGCGCGGCAGGAAGACAATGTCAGCGGACGAGTTGCAGCGCGTGATTTGCTGTGTAGGCCGTGCAATGGGACTCTCTTTGACTCCACGCGAAATCCCTATAGTGCGTGCGCGACTCGTCCGCAGACTTGGCCTTTTTGCCGCGCGACGGCCTCCTGGACAGTGTACACAGATTTACATTGCCTTCGCTAATTCCTTCAAAAACCTGGGTAAAAACATTTTGAGTTTTTCGAATGAAGACCTGGTCATCCACGAAGAATTTCCGAGAACCTTTCTCTTTGGGTCTTTCATGTAGGAGCTCCTACTTCCCGGTTCCCGCGATGCCATTCATGTGTAATAAAAGCTTGTACTTCAGATCCGCCTGCGCCAAACTCTTTCATTAATTTAATATGGTACTTTTGGATCTGTACATAAATTTCTCATAGTCCTCACCGAATTGCGTTACATTCCTTTTGACCTAATCAACGATAACCGCAGTCACCCTTTTGCTTCCGTAGCCTGCCAACCTCTATGAGCAGGACTGCATCATTTCTGAACTCTTTGAGAAAAACAACACCGCATTTAACACATTGCAGCCCACGTGCATCGCCGGGTATGCACGTCGAAACTCCCACATATGACATTTGTGCATCGCCGGGTATGCACATCTGTATTTTGCTCCCCCATGAACCTTTCCTAATACTTCTTTGACTAATTGACTTCCGTTAGTCTCATTAATCCGTAGAACGTGTGGCATGTCGACAACTTCAATTTCAACACAAACAATCAGATTCTAATACGCCTACCTACTGAACAAGTTATCATCAATTACGAAATTTGCATGCAGTTTGCGCTTCAGACTTCGAGTTTCTTTGGCAATCAAAAAGAAACAATTATCGGAAAATTTTTAAATTAACACGTCTAGTAACTCGCAGAAGTACGTACGAAACCAAGCTAAACACTTATTAGACCTATGAACTGTAGTAACAAGAACTAAAGCAACAACAACTAGAACAAAACTTGAAAAATTTTAATTGGCAAAGGGAAACGAAACCTCCCGCGCCCTTCCGACGAATCTGTTATGTGGGTCCCGTAAGGGAAACGCACGAAATGTCCCACAGAGAGATTGAAGCATCGCCGAGTATGCGCGCACGCAATACCGCCAATGACACATGTGCGACAAACGCCGAAATCGGCGCGGGCGTCAAAGTGTTAACACGTTGACGACAACGCGCGTTTTGGGCATTTTGGCCTCAATGGACAGACGCGATTTTGCCAGCGCGGCGGCTGCGGGACATCCCGCGCTTTCTATCAAGGCGCCTTTTTTGGAGCTTGAAATGAAAAAAAAACTTTAACCAGTCAGATGGTTCATTTAACATAAGACACATGGCCAAAAGTAACTTCTTCAGCAAAGGCCCACCATGAATATGAACCCTTTCACATACAAACTTCATGAAATTGTCATGGGAGGAAAAGGCCAAAAAGGGTTACTAATGAAGGCACTTCGAGACTCAAGTAGACGTTCCCGTCTCCAACAGTTGCGATGGATGTACGGAGGGAAATCAAACACATAACAGTCGTTCCCGTTTTGCGAATTGATTACCAATTCCAAACGCGATTTTCGCTCTTTTCGTTTTTATTGTGGAGAAGGCTCTTAAACCAGCGATTTCGGGGTGAGATAGAATCATGATTTTTCTGTGGAACGACTATGTTGAGGCCCCACCTCATACCAGGAAATGTAAACTCCCATGCAATATGAATGGAGAATTGGATGGAAATCGTAGAGTAATATGAAGGCTATGCTACGAAATTATTTGGTACCAAAAATGCTACGTGATACATTCAACAAATCCAGTGGCGGGTGATGACAGAAAAGAATAGCTCTGCTATAGGCGAGCTGAATAAGCTCTTATCGCCTTTTAAATTTTTCCCGAAATGGTGCTCACAGAGGTAAAGAGACTGACCTGCGTCACCGTAGATATGGCATTACCCTTTCGAGACAGAGGCAATCTGGGCGCATGTTTGACGCCATATATTACTTTTTACTGCATTTCCTTGCCAGCTTGACCGCTCACAACTTGTCTAAAAGTTGTGTAGCAGTTTTGGTTTACATATCTGTGTATAGTATTCAGTACTCTACCGATTGCCTGGGTCTCCATCCAAAGTTCCATGGGAAGTTGGAAGCGTTCCCTAGTTAGATCCACTAGACTTTTTCCCTCATCGTTGTGGTCATGAATTTTAAATGGATAAGCATTAACTAGCTTTTACAAACTTCGTTTGGTAACCGTGAAAGATAACCTCACTTGTGCTTCTCTCCAATAGTAACCATATCTTCTATATCGGGGATATTCCCACCTTCCGTGAATAAATTGTCTAATGTATCGCGAGGAGTCCCTGGAACGTCGCAAGATGTTTACTTATAAGCTGTATTATCTATAAAACATGGCTGGATATGCTGAACGTAAAATAGCCGCACGGCACGGAAAGCTTAATACTCACTATCCCAATTGTTATAGTAGTGACAAGTTCGTCGCGAGACCATGCCTCGACACATCGCGTTCTGAAAACATGGGAAAAATCCTCAGTCCGAAGATAGAAAAAAGACACTCCCCACAAGTGAATCTTAGCAGAAGGAAAAGAACAGTGTTTCAGAATACGTATCAGAAACATGGAGGACAAGAGCTCAACATCTGTATCAACATTTTTACACTTCGACAACGATTCCCATGCGAATAGGCCTGGGAAATATCCGGCCCCCCACTTTCTTCACGATTTGGGGCGCGGCCGCGGCAAACCCGCGGCGTTCGCGGCCGAGTAGTGCGGCATCAGCTTGCCTGAGTATTCGACGTTACATTACGTGTCGTTACGATCGGATGAACTAACACGTAATGTAACGTCGAATACTCAGGCAAGCTGATGCCGCACTACTCGGCCGCGAACGCCGCGGGTTTGCCGCGGCCGCGCCCCAAATCGTGAAGAAAGTGGGGGAGCCAAATATCCAAGGGTCCGGTCATGTTTTGCGATCTTGTGTTTTTTTTTTCGAGAAGTACCGGGTTAGAAAATAATATCGTAGCGCCTTTTTCGAGCGTATAAATTCGAAGAATACGAGTACAACCCGGAGAACCACATTCATCATCTGAGAGTTCTTTTTCCGCTCTACAATACTTTGTTTGCATTTTCCTCAATATTATAACTTTGCTGAAGTATGGTGCTCCGAAGCGGCAGAAATGGGCATTCCGATAGTAGCAATTCTCTGATCTACATAAAGAGAAAAAATGCCTGATCGGACGTTCTTGGAAACCCATCCCCTTCGCCCTACCAAAAAGAACCCTTAACCAATTTCAACCTCAATCCAATCTACCCTAGGTTTTCGCTCAATTTCAGACCACATTTACTCCGTATCAATAAGAATTAAAGGAATCCTTCCCGGAAAAAACATGATTCTATCTTACCCATAAATCACTGGCTTGAGGCCCATCGTTCACAATAAGAACAAAGAACTGCATTTGTTTTGTAAACAATTCGAAAAACTGGAAGGACTGCTACGCGTTCAAATTCCCGCCGGACATCTGTCACAAATGCTGGCGAGGGAACGCTTCCACTTGGTTCACGGAGTGCTGTCACTAGAAACTCTTTTTGACCTTTTGACTTATTGCATTAACATCTCACACTTCTACTGCATCCCACTATCGATTCTTTTGTCTCTATTCTCTGAAACCGCACGTTTTAACCCAATTTTCCAACGCGTCGCCTAATACGTGGCTGAAACAAGGCGCAGTTCATACCAGCCCCACCTTTGGCACTGCGCGATCTACTCCCAACCGTCGATAGAATGTGGCATTCGTAAGTATATTTTCTCCGGAAACTGAATCTTCATGCAACTGAAAACTTTGTATATTGTCTCCAGTGACCACAACTAACATATTCATTTTGAGAAAGTATACAAGAATTCGTTGAGAAGGATTTGTATGAGAGCGTCAAAAGTCACGCTACGAATAAATTCTTACAGAACCTTGTCACAGTTGTCACTGAGTCCATACACGCCTCGCGGCGGGAAACAACATTTATGTTACACTAATCGCTTTTGTTAAGCCTATTTCCCTTCTCTGCAGCGTCCCTAATCCCATTACCCTTGCTGCTGCAACTCTTTTGACCTGCTTATTTGTAACGGTACAGTGAATTCAGTCCATTAAAGAGAAAGCAATCTATTGAAAGAGTAATCCAATCAAATAAAAGCGGAAAAATGAAAAGAAACAAAATGAAACCTTAATCAAACTCACTTTCACGCGACTATCTTTCTCCTTGGCAACTTTTTCATGAATGCAAAGTTGATCACGGGAACCAATCACAGTCGTCCGAATGCTGTATAGGGACGGATAGTAGGAACTTCAAAAGCGAACAAACTGAGCAAACAAAGAAATCTGCTCACTCTTTGTACATGGTTCTGTTTATCTCCCGGACAACTTGCGAGAGCTGACTGTGAGTACGAGAACAGTAATAAATACGAGGAAGAAACGTAGAGAGCGAAGGGACAGTACCTGAACAGGAGATGCCACTGGGATTGTTTGCAATCGAATCCACTTTATTAGATGGGTATTGAAGATGAAGTAAGGCGCCCCAGATCTGATTTTCTGATAACGCGAGTATAACGCTCGTCAGTGGTGACAATGCAAAACCGACTGTAAGACATGGTCTCATTAGGCTGATGTCAGAGTCCGCGATCCGTCGCAGGTTTCGCTGATTTTCGCGATTTGCGCGATTTTCGCGATTT